CACCTTGCACCCTCTTCCTTCTCCACCTCCTTCACCCATCCACCATAGCCAAGTACCTTCCCCCTTCTTCCTCTTCCATCCTCCTCACCCATCCACCATAGCCGACCACCTTGCACCTTCCTCCTCCACCACCTCCTTCACCCATCCACCATAGCCGACCACCTTGCACCTTCTTCCTCCTCGACCTCCTTCACCCATCCGCCATAACCAACCACCTTCCCCCGTCTTCCTCCTCCATCTTCTCTGCCCATCCACCATAGCCAACCACCTTCCACCTTCTTCCTCCACCACTTCGTTCGCCCATCCGCCATAGCCAAACCACTTTGCACCTCCCTCCTCCGTCCTCTTCCGCCACCCGAAGATCGGGAGCAAAAGGGGAGGCATCAAGGAGCGCAAGGAACGATAGGTAGGACGGTAGGGCGCGCTAGGGGGTAAGGTTGATTAGGAATTAGGAATCTCTTTCTCCTTCCTTCTCTCTCCTTCTCTCTATCTCTCTCTCTATCTATCTATCTATCTCCCACTCTCTCTCTCTCTCTCACTCTCTCTCTCTCTCACTCTCTCTCTCTCTCATTCTCTTTCCTAGAGCCTTGACCTTCACCTTACCCTCTCCCCCTCTTCCTTCTTGGCACGTGACTAACCCTTCCCCTCTCACTCGTTACATTGCCAGGGGGCGAACGGTGAAAAAAAGCGGTCCTCACTTGGTGGAGAAAGAGGGTCATGGAAGGATAGCCGGTCCCTTGCGCCACCAAGAAGGAGAAAGGAGAACCCTTGAGAATTTGGAAGATGAGGACCTTGAGAAAGTGGGAAAGTGAGAGCTTGACACAAGGTCAGTTGACTCAACCATTCCCCCAACTGCATGACTAAGGAGAACGTGTGGTTTGATGGTGGGAAGGAAGAGAAAGTTGAAAGAACCTTGCAAGAGAAAGGAACTTAGGCTTGCGGGAAGGGAAATGTGTTGATCCCAATGGGGGATTGTATTCGTCTTGGCGTGTGTGTGGGATTGTGCAGGTGAGTAGCTTAGGATGACTCGAGCGGGACTGGGCTCGAGGCACGCGGGTGAAAGGGAAGGATCGGATGGAAAGGCCAAAGGCCTAGCGTAAAGTCTGACGCGGGTGGGCCTTGGCGTAGGATGCTTGGAACAAAGGATCAAAAGGGGTGTGGCTTTGCATGGTGAATGTGTTTCGACTCTTTGCACCCAATATCGAAGCTCGAAAGGACTAAGGGCGGGCAACGGATGTATGGGTGAGATGCAGGTGTCAAGCAAAAAATGTACAGGGGCTAGGGGGATGGATGGTGCCACCTCACCCCGATGACGCCATAGGGATTGGTGTACTTAGTGAAAAGGTGTGTGGCCCAAGGATGACGCTTGGCCTACGCACAAAAGAAGAAAAATTCTCAAGTGACCGTAATGCTACCATCTAACGCGAGAGCGGAGCTACATCCCCCAATGTTAAAAGCCCTCTCGCAAATGGCCCATCCCCATCCATCTCATAGCACTAGGTGGGGGTGCCCCTGAGACGAACGCTCCGCGGCCCTAGCTTGAGCTTGGGCGGAGCAGAGCCAACTGGGACCCGAAGTGGGGTCGGCACAGGCTCCAAAGTCTTTCAGGGTAAGGCCCTACAAAAAATGGTGGAGATGCCGGGTATAGGGTTAAATTGACCCCTACGATTCTAGAGGGGGCGCCCGACGCATGATCGTGTACATAACTGAAGAGAAGAAATTTGGACTTGTGCATGCTCTTTCCCTTGAGAAAATCAGACTTGAGAGTGGCTGGGCACATGGCATGGCCAGGCCTGGAGGTATAACATGCATGTTGTGCACCGGATCAACTTAATCTCTTGTTGAGTGGCTCTAGCCCCCCTTCGTCCGGTGCTGGTGTTCGCCAGTCCGGGGAAGCCTCGGGCAAGTCGCAGGTCGACCCTTCCTCTTCGTGTGAAAGAAGGGCTCCGGTTACCTGGCAGGCGGGTGGTGCTTCGGTTTCGTCCGGGGTCCAATGAAAATCCCGTGGCGGAGTGATCCGACCGGCTGGGTGCTCTCCTCCCCTTCTTCTTCTGAGCCCAGTGGGCTCATGCACTATGCACATGAAATGCTTGAAGGAACTAACATGAACACAATGGTAATCGAAAAGGAACAATCCTACCTATGAACGGACAGACGAAGGAAGATAAGGGAATGAAGGGAGTTGCTAGACTCCAAGGAAAACTAGCTCACCTTTGAAGATGCGCGTGAAAAGGAACCAGCCACTGTGTATGGACAATAGGGGGAATGACACACACTGTCATGAGAGAAGATTGTGAGGCTTGGGTAGGAAGCGCTGGGTGCACCAAGGGAAAGACACTTGTTCTATGTGTGTCCCACTTGGGACTTGTGGATTGCATGAAAGGGGAATTGAGCGTCATGCCACTTCGGAAGGAAAGGGTGGGTCTGCACCGGCTGGTACGGGTTGCGAAACGTCGCTCTCTTTGAAGTTCGCCGGGTTCCATGTGCGGAGGTCGGGCCACCGAGCTGTCAGGCAGGAGTTGGTCTCGTCAGTTGATTAGTAGCATTCCCTCCTGGGCGAGCCGAGCATCGCTCGACACCTTACCCAGGCGGGGTGCGAAACGTCTCCTCAGGCGGGCCGGCTGCTTGTCGGCAGACGGCAAGGGGACCACTGCATGTGGGGCCCGGACGGCTCACTTTTGTCCTTACCGGGGTACGCGGGGTGATTCTCGGTGCCAACGGGGGTGTGCAAGAACGGCAAGATGGGATGGGGTATTCTGGGCGAGAAGGTGAGGGTGCCCCCCCCACTGGAGTCTGGGTACCGCGCTAGCGACGGTTGAGTTGTGCTTGAGGTACGGGATAAAACTCACCCGATAGTAACAGTGGAGAGACCACTTTTTGGGAAAAGGCCGGTGAGGAGATGACCGGCCTGTGTGCGAGGATTGCCTGATTTGTTTTTTTTTTCCTTTTTTTGTGTCTCCCTCTGTAAAGCTGTTTGAGATTGTTGGGAAGGGACAAAGGTTTCCAAGTTTGTTCTCGCCTCTATCTAAGTGACCAATTGAAGGTGCGATGGGGCGACGGTACTCGGAAAATGGACAGGGGAAAATTTTAGGGAGACCTTGATGAGGGGTTTAAAATAATTCGCATCTAGGACAACAACTGACCTAACCCGAGGGCCGACTGGTGCTCTCTTTGGAAAAACAGGACTCGGCGGCTAGGGAAAACGGGATGGCGTGGTGGATGTCATCGCCGACTTACTCCGGCGGGCCAGAGATGCCGATAGACGTAAAGGGGGGGGTATCGGTCGTAATGCCGGAAGAAGGGACTTGGACGGACTTAGAGCCAGGGTACCAAATAGTGATGCTGGTAGAAAGTGACGCCTTCGTATGGATCGAAACAATGTGGACCAAGGTTAGCCTGACAAAGCTAACGCCAAGCCTGACAAACTTAGAATTTCGGCGGACTATGGAAGCACGGGGGTGGGTCTATTTGTCTAAGGAGGAAGAGAACGCCATGATTATAAGACTAAGGGGAACTCCCGTACGAATTGTTCAAGGAAGCTGAGCGGGAAGTGGTATGGGCCGCATGCCAGCGGGTGGAAATGGTGATGGAAGGGATCGACGTGCGAGTGGAACTCGGGGATAGAGGGAACGTGAGGAAGTCATTTAGAACTCTGAGGTGTGTCATGCCGTCGTTCATGGTAGATGCTTTCTTCGGGACCCGAAGTAGGCTGGTGCGGATATGCAGGTCCATGGCAAGCCTTGGACTGTACCAAGGGGCCCGACAGGACTTCTTCCGCCTGTCGGTCGAGATGGGGCCGTTCGAAGGGAACTGGGCGAGGGAGCTGGCCGCGATACTAAACCACCTCAGTACGGATGGCATGTTCGTTCCGAGCGTCGTGCATTGGGGAATAATATATAGGAATGTCGCAGTAGGGAAAACGTTTTTGGAAGGGGTAGAGGACTTGTGGTATGAAGAAGACAGTGATGTCTCGGATGGAGAAGAGAGAGAAGAAATTGAAGAGTGAGACTTCTGAGAAGCGAGGCTTACCCGGAGGAAATGGGTGGTCGGCTCTGTGCAGGAAGGAAGTGATGGTCAGGGAACTATTGCTAAGGGACTGCACGTTTAAAGGTTGGGAGCCAAAACGAGTCAAGGGTGGGGTAAAAATATCCATACCAGCGGATAATGGATGGAGAGGAACCACATGTGACTGGATCGTACTCGAGATTGCACCGGAATTATCGTACCTGTGGATAGAACGCGTCTGGAACCCGATAAGGGAGGAGGAAGAATGGGAGGAGATTGCGGAAGGAACGGTGGAATCGGTCGTCCTCTCCGAGCAAGGGTGGCACCTATTTTGCACAATGCTTGCGGCAGGACAAGTCCAATGTGGCTTTTGAAGAATGCAGAGGCAAAGACCCGGAGGGCAACGAGAGGTTTGCCAACAAGGGGTGGGATGCGGTCCATAGTAAGGTTGTGATGGGGGGATGGAAGGAGTTTAGACCTCCCTGCCTGCGAACCAAGATTTGGGTACCCGAGTTCGTGACGGACTGGTTTGGGGGTTTTGACCACGTCGCGGAGGTGGCCAGCACTATGGAGCGGATACACGTAGAATATGCGTGGCTGTCAGAAGAGTTTTATAAAACATCGTTGAAATTCAGGCCCTTCCACGGCGACAGAGTCTGGGAGGTCCTCATCATTTTGAATATGGATAGATACGATCAGCTAGAGGTAGCCCCAGAGATCAGGGAAGCCATAATCCGCAGGGAGGTAGCGGCTACGCCGTGCTATGTGGATGATGTGTTCAAATTGTTCGAAGTAATGTGGTTCGATTAGGAGTAGGAAAGACCCGAATTGGCGGGGTAACCTAGGGGTAGAGGGGAGAGGAAAAGAAGGAAGGGGAAAATTAGGGGGTAACATAGATGGGGGAACATGTATACTATGCGGACCAGCCAAGGATAGAAGTACTAAGACAGGGAATGGGGTGTCCGGCTATTGTGGGGATCACTGCGGCATCGCAGGATAAGGATCAAAGGCAGGTAAAGGACACGCGATGGCACGAAGGAGGACCTTCCTCGAGGATCGCCCGCTGAGGATCGAGCCGCCAAGGGAAGTGGCTGGCGGCATAGAAGTCATCCTACCCACCATAAATGAGATCCGGCACCCGGTGGTGGATTGGGTCGGGGTCGAGCTTACGGAAAACACGGTTTACCTGGTGACCAAGGTTGAATGGCGTACGGACGGGGATGGCGAGTGGAATCCGGACCTGCGGGGACATGTGCGTGCGGAAGGATGGTTGTATATGTCGGAGGATGGATGGTGCACGTTCGGAATCCTACTAGCGTCAGGGGAAGATCCGATAAACATGTTCGAAGGAGGATGGCAGTTAGTGTGGCAAGGGGGGTTCGAGTTTGCAGACCCGGAGTTCGACGACGTAACAGCGGACCTTAGGGTGACCATGACTGGGAGTTTCAATCTGCCTAGTGAGAATGTTCGAATGAAATTGTCATCCTTCTTACTGGAAAAGTTGGGCGGTCTGGATCTTGTCAGGCGAGCAGTGGCCGATCTCGCCAACCTGACGTTTGAGGAAGCGACGGTCCACCGGGAATACTACCGGGCCTTCCTAGAAATGGGGCCGTTCGACGGTGAGCAGAGGTACGAGGTGTTGCGTGTACTGCGCGCCGTATTCACCACAAAGCCTAGAGTTCCAGTTGTTAGCGATGAGGTTCTATGGGGCGTCGTTCGAAGAGAAATAAACCGGGGGCTGAGTTACGTAGACGGCCTGTGCTGCCTATATGAGCTATCAGGAGTGAGGGCATGCCAATAAAAAGAGAAAGAAAAGGGAAGGGAATAGGGAAGAAAAGGAGGACGGACAAGAAGTAGGAAGTTGCTAGTGGTGGTCGGATAAATGGATGAAATAAGCAGGACTCACTTGTTGTTTAAACTGTGCAGGGAACCGCTAACTGACGATGGCAATGAGACGCGCCCGGATGTCGCGACGACCCACGCACCCTCGGCCGCCCACGGAAAGCGGAGACGGATGGGAGGTGTCACTTCCAGCAAGCTACGTGGTTCGAGGGATTGACACAGAATGGAGAGTTGTGACCTTGGGGAGGGACCAAGCGTTCATGATGGTAGAATGCTTGTGGAGTGGTATGAGGTTCAATAGGGGTCCAGGGGACGATCTATATGCTGATTTGAGGGTGACGGGGACCATATACCTACCGGAAATTGGATGGCACATGCTAGGAACCGAGATGGCACTAGGACATGGGTTACTGCCAATCTTCCGAAGGGCGGCCAAGGCAGTAAACCGGATAGGTCAGGAGGTTCGGGGGAGAAGGAATGTAGGGCTGAGAACTCGGGTGGAGGTAGGAGGATTGCGAGAGTTTAGGGCCTTAATGACAGGATTGCGGTGTCGAGTACCCCGTTTCATTATAGACCTGGTATTCGGCAGCCTCTCGAGGGCAAGAGACCTGGTGGACTCGACCCTAACCTGGATCCACCACTTCCAGCCACAGACGACGGGAATGTTTTACGATGTGTCAGTAAGGCATGGGCCGTTTAAGGGAAATCGGGCCTGTGAACTACTCGAACTCATCGAAATCCTGATATTCGGAGTACCGCGTCTGGCGTTTGAAGAATATGAACCAATAATTATCAGGGAGATAGAAATGGGAGAAAACTACCTTGCGGGGGTGGCTAACTTGTTCGAAGAACCTGATGAACAGGACAGGCATGAGGGTCCGGCGTGAGAAAAGTACCGAGGAAGGCAGCAAAAGCAAAGGCTAGAAACAGAATGAGGGGTTAGCCATCTGCGGAGGAGAGTGGTCGGAGTCATATTCTACCTGAGAATATGACAGGAAGGGACTAGGAAGGCCACTACTGCTAAGGACGCTGAGGGTATCCAAAAGTCAAGAAGGCAAGAGGGCCATCATAGAAAGGAGAACCGCTAACCCTGGATACCACCTCAGAACCAAGGCACGGCAGTGACAAAACGTCGAACCTCGGTAGCGCACCTTCCGACAGAAGGAAAGGTAAGCGACATCCCGCTGAGCGAGAAAAACTTGATAAGCCGTCACGGCCGATATAAGGCGGAAAATATAGGAATGGCAAAAACGGGGAGGACCTTAGGACCTGGGAACTGGGGAAGCTGTGAACAACCGACCGTTTCGCAAAAAAAATATTTCCATGTGAAGGATTAGGAAAGGATGGCGTCAGAGGAAGAGACTGGGAACCTGCAGAGCAAGGGGAGTCAGGGCACGGAAAGGGGCGCGGAACGGAACGAAGGGTTGATAAGGGATCGAGGGTCAGTGAATCCGGAGGGAACCAAGGAAGACGGGAAGGGTCTCTCGACGGGGGAAAGTTCGGGAAAGTTGGGGGAAGTAAACGTGGATCCTAGGAAAATAAGGAAGGAAGGAACAAGGAAAGGTCGAGTCCGAGAAACTCAGATGGGGTCATATCCAAGAAAATGAAACTTTCGGATGCACGACGTAAGTTGGCAGAAATAGAAAAGCGAACCGTGGAGTATAAGGCAAAACTTATTGAGGAAATAATGGCTAGGAATGGAAGGGACCTTCCGGGGGATGAGCTACGAGAGGAGCGTAGGACCAGCCAGGGCGAAATCGGGCACGGAGGGAAGGATAATAGCCACAGGAGGACGCCTAGCAAGAAAGGGAAGGAGAAAGGGGATTCCCCGGGCATAGAAGCGGAAAAAGCTACGAACATGCCTTCCATAGACAGTGGTGCTAGTCGCTTGCCTGCCGCCCCGAAAATAACAAAGGGGTGCGACGGACTTTGGAGTCTCAGAGAAAGGGTGTTAGGATGGTTCGATCCGGAAGGAACAACAAAAACCGGAGAGAAGCAGAAGGATAGTAAGGAAGGAGAAGGGACCAGTACGGCTGGCGAAACAGGTAGTTCCGAGGGAGGTCTCAAGAAAATAGTATCCACCCTTACTCGGGTATTGAACAAAAATCAGGGGTACATCGCGGATGCCAAGAGGAAACTCACCTTCGATGGGGCGGAAATTACGGAATTCCTAATAGACTACGAGAATCTAGCGGCCTTGTTGAAATGGAGCGAGGAGGAAAAGATGGACCATTTAGGGCAGCATGTGTCACTTAGCCTAGGGAGAGATATAATGGTCATCGTCGCCGCCAGCGGATCCTGGAAAGAGACCCGAAATGAGATGATGAGAAAATACCTAAAGGCGGAGAAAATGGCAACAAAAGTTGAATTGGCAACCGATCAGAGGAAGAAGTATGCAACTTACAACGACTTCCTGAGGGCATTTACTCTAGTGGCGTTACGGATTTCCGGGGTAACGGACCAGATCATGAGCAAGTACTTTCTTAGGCAGTTCTCCGAGTTCGACAAGGATAAGATTCTATCGGCCTACCAACAGACCAGCAAGTTTAAGTACACAAGGGACGTTGACTTCAGCACCGTAACAAACCTCGCAGAGAAGACAATGGTAACCGAGACATTAGCCTTGCTTAAGGAAGGAGAAGGCATAGACTTGACTGGAAAGACGGGAGACAAGGTGAAGAAGGGGATAGAAAACCTGCACGAACGAGTACACGGGGTTGATAATAAGATAGAAAGGGTGGAAAACACACTATTGGTAATGCAGGCGCAAGTATTCCGACCCGCCCTCCCGCCCGAAGAGGCCGTGGTCCCGGCAGCAGTAGCCAACTGAGGGTACAACAGGAAAGATCCGACCAATGAGCAATGCAGATATTGCACGATGGTTGAACACTTTGTGCGAGTCTGCCCCAAACTCAATCACGATATTATAAGACAGAGGTGTAGCATGTCACTTAAAGGCGAAATTTTCGGACCCCAAGGGGAACGGATAAACTGGAATTCGCCTGGTGGAATGCGGCGCGCCGTCATTGCCCTGAACAATCTTGACGTAGCAACCGTAGAAGCCGAGCCGGTAGCCGGCATTGTTTGGGACCAGCCGCAGGGGCGCGGAGCACAAGTCAATTTCATCCTAGAGAGTAATGTACAAGATAGGGTGAACATTACCACCCGACGAGTAGGGGCAGAAAAGAAACTCATCCGAGACACAGTAATGGAGGAAGTTGCAAGAACCAGCGCGGAACAAGCCGAGACCGGGACCAAGGAACCAGAGAAAGTCTACGGAAAAATGAGAGAGGAAGAGTAGGCAGACAAAGCCACGACAGCGAAGAAGAAATTCAGATATCCAATCCCGATTTTAACCATGCCAGAGATCGATGACACCCTGAGCAAGTTGTTGGGAACCATGGTGTCTGTATCCTTTCAAACTATGTTGCAAGCAAGCCCGAGACTGCTCAAAGGACTCAGACAGTTACTAACTCGCAGACGCGTAGAGGTGGAAGAGGCTACGAAACCGTAGGAAGAGGAAAGGGAGGAGGCTGAGGCGCTGCAAGGGGTCGCCAACCTCCAGAGGATTCCAGGAGACTTGGAGGACCTGGAAAAAAACTTTGTAGACATATGCCTAAGCCTACTCGACCGAGAAGGTGGCGAAGTGATGAGGGCACCACTTGGAACGAAGCTCAACTTCCATGCACTGCCAGTAGGAAAGTTGAAAGTCCAGATTGGGACCCATCATACTGACGCACTACTAGACGGGGGTGCGGAAATCACTCTCATAAGAAGAGACTTCGCAACGATCATGGGTTGTACCGTAAATAAGGAGGTAACAGGGAGCATCCGGGGAGCCGGCGGAGAAATTCTGTTTGCTGGGTACGTCACTAAATGCGCGGTCAAGGTTGGGGTCAGGGAGTCGATCTGGTCGTTTCATCGGATGACCGTAATGGAAGAAATGAACCACGATATAATCCTCGGGAGACCATGGTGCGCCAACGTAGAAATGATAGGCATGCACTTGCACGATGGCACGTACATGGTAGACATAAAGGACCCAGTGACTGGCCGGGGAGAGCTTCTCTGACTCCTTGGGACCGGAGGAGATCCTCCGAAGGGAAAATTGGCAACTTGGTCACCAACGTTCGAGGATAGTGCGCAAAAAGGGGCATTCGCCCGAATGGAGGGTATGAGAGAAAGGGTGGAAATCATGATTGAGGAAGCTTTTAGCAAAAAAAAATGGATTAAGATGGGTCTGCCTCTGAAGAAAAGGAGGCAAGAGGACGAAGTCTTAGGAGTCATGGTGGCTGAGAAGGAGCCGGAAGTCGACCTTGGGGCGAGTTTGCCCAAACCAAAGGAATGGTGAAAGGAAACGCCGAAGGTAACGCTCGAAATCCCGGACCTGTTACAACTCGTCAAGGCTATCAAGTACCACAAAGTAGGGGTGGACCCAGCAACACTTGCCAAATTTGAGGATGAGGTTCGAAAGGGCTACTGCTTGAATGAGAAGGTGGTCAGTATTCAACCTCGTGTCGCTGAAATAGCAAAGCCGAGCCCGACTGTTCATTTTTTAGAAGAACGATCCCGGAAGGAAGTGTTCGGAAATATAAGCCAGTAGGAAAGAAAGCTAAGTCGGTTTTGATCCTACTAGAGACGTCAAAGGAGGAGGTCATGGAGAAGGAGGAAGAAATTTTGAAGGTAATACGGGAAAGGCGAGCGGCGGAAGGGCATCGGATACCCGACGAGGTAACAAACACCATGAAAATAGGGATAGATGGGTTCCTAACGGAGGAAGAAACTCGGCTGATAAAAAGGACATGCCAATAATTTCACTTGGCATTTGCTTTTAATGATCATCAGAAAGGACTATTGGATGCGAAGCTAATTTCCCCCGTTAGGATCCACACGGTAGAGCATGAATGCTGGAACGACAAAGGTCCTGCCTACGAGTTCGGAATAGCAACAGAGGTCATGGAATTACTCAGAGCTAAGATAGATTCATTCGTGGCGGAACCCACTGCGTCCCCCTACGCAAACAAGTGGTTTGTTTTTCGAAAACCCGAAAACACGCTCATGTGGATCAAGATTTGCAGAAGCTGAACGAGGTGACCATCCGAGATGCGGGATCGCTTCCACAAGCCGACCTGCTGGCAGAATCTCACGCTGGCCGGAGCATTTACTCCTTGATAGACTTGTATTTAGGATATGACCAACTGCCACTCGATGCCAGGGATAGACCGTACACCGCCATGCATACCCCTGTAGGGCAACTGCAGATGCAGGTAACGCCTATGGGTTTTATGAACGCTGTGGTGGAAGCACAGCGGAGGATGCTTGCGGTAGCCGGGGACATGTTACCAAAAAAATGTGAGCCGTATATAGATGACAATCCTATAAAGGCGCTCAGAACAAGGATGAGACAGAGGTCCAACCGGGGGTTCGAAAATTCGTCTGGTATCATCTACAAGATATCAAGGAGTTACTACAGCGCTTCCTGATATACAATATCACCGCTAGCGGACCAAAAAGCATTCTGGCAGTCCCGGAAGTGACCATATTAGGATTTCGTTGTGGGGCCTATGGAAGGAAGCCTGACCCTGCGAAGACGGACAAGATCTTTCAATGGTCGACACCCCTGTGCACCACAACGGAAGTACGAACCTTCTTAGGGGTGGTTGGATTCTGGATGATCTTTATCAAGGGTTTTGCCAAGGTAGCCGAGCCTATCCGCGCGATGATTAGGGATGGAGGAACTATGGAATGGACCGAGGAAAAGGAGTCAGCGGTCCAGACCCTCAAGGACATACTGACTTCCGATCAAGTCAATCTGGCGGCGCCCTGCTTCAATGATGAGGTAGAACGACCATTTATCATGGAAACGGATGGAGGACCATTGGCAGTAGGAGGTGTTATGATACAAAGGAGCGAGGAGGGCGGAGAAAGGCCGATTAGGTTCGAAAGCAGAACCCTGAATTCTGCAGAACGGCGATACTCCCAATTCAAAAATGAGGTTTTAGCCATCCTACATTGCCTCAAGACCTCTTAAGCCTACCTATTCGGAAGACGATTTATCTTAAGGATCTATCCGACTAACGTCGCAGAAGCGTTAAAGAACTATAAGCCTGTAGACACAACTGTTGGGAGGTGGATAGGCTGTATTTGACAATTCGATTACAAGATCGAGCGAATTGCGGGGCTCCGAACAAGGCAGACAGGCTAAGTCGGGTCTGCATCACACCGGAAGGGGTAGAGGATGCGGAACCAATCGACGTCTTTTTGGAATACGAGGGAGAAACCCTCGCCGTGGACAACGAGATGACGAGTATCGCATTCATGCCAGAAAAATTGCTGATTCAGACTTTGGAAAGAGAGGCGTCTGCCATAGTTGCAGAGCTCAGGGAAGGGTTAGTCACCACAGCGAGGCGTAAGGATGAAAAGGATTCGTGGGGGGCCGCAGTGGGGCCGAAAGAGGAGTTGATGGCAATGGCGGTTGAAGGGGGTCGGGACGTCGTGATGTGCCTAGTAAAATCGTGGGCGCAAGGACAAGAATTTTTCCTCGTGCAGATGTATGACGGCATCTTCCGAGAGATCGACCTGCTACTTATAGGGAACAAGCAGCCTATGGAAGTCAACCTCCAGGCAAGAGAGGAAGTTGAAGAGTATGTCTTAAGGGGCGGTCACCTGTTTAAAAGGGAGGAAGGGATGACACCTAGGCGAGTCGTGTGCGGAAGATCTAAACAACTGAACGTAATACAAGCAATGCATGATGGATTGGTCGGGGGACATCGATCGTCGAAAGGGACGCTTGCAAAAATCGCGCCGCTTTATTTTTGGCCAGGCATGGCTGTTATGATGGCCACTTATTGTCAAACGTGCCTGATTTGCCAAGAAAGGAGCTTTGCGCGTGTCTTTGAACCTCTTAGACCTATTCGGGCGTTGGGGCCAGGGCATTTGGTCCATCTCGACCTCGCGGTCATGCCTGTATCGACTGACGGATACAGGTATATCCTGGACGCAAGAGATAACCTGAATGGTTACGTAGAGGCGGTGGCTCTTAAAAGGAAGACGGGAAAGGAAGTAGCAGACTGGATAGAAGACTTCTACCTAAGACACCCTTTTATTCGGAGGTTCATAGCGGATAATGGGATGAAGTTTGTAAACCAGGAAGTACTAAGCAAACTCAAGATGTTGTGTGTGCCTATTAAGATCATTGAGTCGTATCACTCGGAAGCCAACGCACCTGTAGAAAGGGGGCACATGACCTTGAAAAACACAATTGCTAAGCTGGCAGCAGACGACCAGGGGAATTGGCCCCGGTACCTTAAGGGGACATGACGCCGAAAAGGACGACGGGATGCATTTCGGCAGAACTCATGTATGGGAGGAGATTGATTTCCGGGTGGAGGCATTGGTATCCACCTGGAATAGGCTAGATGACGACCCGCATATGTCAAAAATATCCAGAAAGAGCCACTCCAAGTGGGGGAAACGGTACTGGTTAGGAACTCGGCACTTGAAAGCACATGGTCTGGGCAGCTGGGAAAGAGATTCAAAGTTCCCTACGGGACCCCGTGGAACAATGGTTGCAGGAAACTCGGGATAAGGAAACAGGGGAATTAGCAACTTGAGAAGTAGGCAGCAGTCACATCTGGACCGTAATCTTGTACCTCCCCTATGCGGAAATGATCATGACTATGAGGTTTTTGTTTCCTTTCCTTTTTCTGGGGCAGGGGTAACTGCTTGGGCTCAGTGCGGATGGGGTTTGGAGCCTGCGGCAATGTATCATAGTTTTTGTGGGGTAATGGTGGGAGTGTCTATATGGGGTATCTATGTGCTGGGGCAATGTACCATAGTTTTTGTGGGATGATGCGAGCATCCGCCTACGATATCACTGTAAGAGGACTACCAATCATATGGGGATGAACAC